AGAGAGGCTTCTTTTTACCCTCCATGATGAAAGAAATGCGACACCTAAATTGCTGCAGAAAATTTGTCATTTTACAACACAGCGCAGGATTAACCTCGTATATGGGAATGCATCAGTGGAGTCTTAGTTTCACATATCGCAATAAAGGGGAAAAAAAAGTTTTGTTTATATTTCATCGTGATGGAAGACTGACACTCAAATTGCCTTAGGAAATATGTCCAAGTTATTTCTGTTTCCTCAGAGACCTAGATTAACCTCGTTAATGGACAAAACTAGAGGCTGTTTGTGCTGGAGGATTCAGGACATGTTGGCTTAGGGATCCTTCGTCGACGTCCGAATCTTCGACCCTAGGACTCCAAACCACCTGGGATTGTCATTACTAGTAGTTCATTGGCGAAAAGGGAGAGAGAGAGATAAAGAACTAGGGCGTATTCGTAAAGAATCCAAATCACGGATCGCGGAATTTTCACACCACTTTTTGGGGTATATATATATATATATAATATATATATATATATATATATATATATATATATATATATATATATATAATAATATCTCTCTCCTCTCTCTCTCTCTCTCTCTCTCCTCTCTCTCTCTCTCTCTCTCTCTCTCTTCTCTCTCTCTCTCTCTCTCTCTCTCTCTTCTCTTCTTCTCTCTTCTCTCTCTCTTCTCTCTCTCTCTCTCTCCTCTCTCTCTCTCCTCTCTCTCTCTCTCTCTCTCTCTCTCCTCTCTCTCTCTCTCTCTCTCTCTCCTCTCTCTCTCTCCTCTCTCTCTCTCTCTCTCTCTCTCTCTCTCTCTCTCTCTCTCTCTCTCTCTCTCTCTCTTCTCTCTCTCTCTCTCTCTCTCCTCTCTCTCTCCTCTCTCTCTCCTCTCCTCTCCCTCTCTCTCTCTCTCCTCCTCTTCCTCTCTTCCTTCTCGTCTCTCCTTCTCTCTCTCTTCTCTTCTCTCCTCTCTCTCTCTCTCTCTTCCCCCCTCTCTCTCCTCTCTCCTCTCTCTCTCTTCCCTCCCTCCTCTCTCTCCTCTCCCTCTCTCTCTTCTCTCTCCCTTCTCTCTCTCTCTCCTCTCCCTCTCTCTCTCCTCCTCTCTCTCTCTCTTTCCTCTCTCTCTTTCCATTCTCCTCTCTTCGTCCTCCCTCTCTCTCTCCTATTCATCCTTTCTCCTTCTCTCCTTCGCTCTCTCTGCCAGAGGAAAACAACCCTCTACGCCATACACTTGTTTAGGATAAGTGCCGCCTGTCGTTCTCGCTCCTTCGACCTCGTCTTAACTGCTTTATTCTGCTCTTTTTGCTCTCACTCCTTCTACCTGCTTTGCGATCTAATTCTGCTTTGTTCTACTCTTTTTGCATCCTGAGAATTCCTCTGCTGAGTTGCGGAGAGTCAGTGGTAATGCGCGGGGTAGTTTGTGAAAGTAGTGTGTATAATAGGAATATGAAATAAATGGATGGTTATAGATGAGAACCATATTTGTTTTTTGTGTGAAAGTAGATGGTGGTGGGATTGTTGTAGTAATAGCAGTATAGTAGTAGTAATAGTAGTCGCAGTAGTAGTGACAGATTAATAGTAGTAGTAGTGACAGGATTATCATCATCGTTATCATTATCACTATCGTTATAGTAATGAGCATCATCATAATCATGAGCATATTGTTAATTATATATTAATGCGGTATCTTTTTTTCCTTTCTCGAAGCGGTGAACAAATTGTATACCAAAGTGTATAAATTGTATACACTTTGATCACAAAAATAATTAATAAAAAACAATTATACCAAAATCCTTAAGTAATAGAAAACGTAAAATAAAGGCCATTCTCTCTTTTCCTGCAAATAATCTGAAGTTCCTTTCCTTTTTTTCTTATACCGAAAGGACCTTTTTCTCCCTTTTCCTTTTTGCCCAATACATCGCATTTCCCGCCCATTTCTGAGCCATTGTTCTGCATTGCGGGGTCCGGCCCGATTTAGCTTGTACGATCATTATTCACGAAGTGGCAACCCCTCTCCACCTACAATGGCGCTGGCATTTTTTTTTCGGGATAATGGGGACTAAAAAGGGGGAGGGGGAGGGGGAGGGAAAAATTATTGATAATATATATATTGTGTGTTGTGTGTGTGTGTGTATATATAATATCTGTATGTATGGGTGTATGTACAACACATGCAATATGTATATAAAGATATTTCCTGGTCATATATTGTTCTTTTATTCTTCTTCTCCTTTCCCTCATTATTCTTCCGCTTATTCGCTCCCCTCATTCCCGGTTCACATTTATTTTCGTGCTTTTCACTTTTCTTTTCTTCGTTTCATACGGTAATTTCCTTTTAAAAAACTGACTCATCGCTCCTCACACGGTCTCCCTCTCCTGTCTTCTCACCTCTCTCTCTTCGTGTCTCCCCTCTCATCTCTCCGCCTCGGTCCTCCTCCACCTCCCCTCCTTCCGCTCTCTCCACCTCATCTCTCTCTCCCTCCTCCTCCCCTCGTCCTCAGTTCTCGCGCTCTCCT